CAATCTAACATTTTGTCTTTTATTAAAGCTTCCTCTAATATTGAGAGAAAATCGACAAAAGGACAGAAAACTAAGACATACAAGAATTATCCACGGTTTTAATACTCGTGAATCGGGTTTGACCAATGAGAACTGACCCAAATATGACTGAAAATCCCTTTCTCTCTTTTTATCTGTTTTCTCTCAATCTCAGACGAAGCTTTCCTATAAGTGAAACATGCTAGATTTATATACGTTTCTCATTTGTTTTTGTTTTTATTTTATTACTAACCTGATTTTAGGCTAGCTCCTGTGGTGGGCTTTCGGGTATTCGGCCTTTTACCTTTAGCGTCATATGTACGTAAGTTTTAAGTATTTCGAATTAATAAAATTATTTTATCTTTATTTGACATAATCTTTCTCTGCAACCGATCTCCGTATTTTGTTTACAATTATTTTGCGCGCAATTTTTCTTTTCTTTTAAAATCACCATTCTTTATGATACGTTCACATAAAGTCATTCTTAAAAGACATTAGGGAACCCGAATCATGCAACATTTCGAATATGTCACAGTACACGTGCTAGAAACGAAAACAATATATGAGTAACATACTTAACTCCACTTAAGTTTTAATTACATTTTAATTAAATGACGTCATTGCAATTGCGGCCTAAAGCGTAATTAAAGTTAAACCTTTAATAAAGAATTGTTTTTAAACCTTTCACTCTGTTCATTATTTAAATGAGTTATTTATTTAATTTTTAATCGCGTGTAACTCCTATAGTTACTACCTGTTGTGGCGTAATTTATGTGTATTCAATTACAGGAGGGGGGAATAGAAGAGAAGATGAAGTCTTTAACTGTTTGTTTTGAAGTCCAAACACATTAACGCGTAGAATTTAAAATCTCCCCTCCTCATTCAGGCTCCGTTTTTATAATGAAGGCAGATACCATTTCTTGACAAGGGAGATAACCGTGGTTACTTCACATCCACCATTTATTTTTAAAGTACTTTTAATATGAAAGTCTACCAGAATGTCGAACCTTTCGACCATATCTGGTGTAAACTGACGGACTGGTGCCATTGGCATTCGGCTTTTCAATTTCTGTTATTGGGTTTTTGTGTTGATCCCCTGACAATTCAGCTGGACTTAGTTTGTCCGAGTAACTGACATTTGAAATAGATCTTGATTGACGCTGCAGTGTATTGGAAATTTGTGGGTTGGCAAATTTTGTTGATGATTGCTGGTCAGTTCTTTGCCTCAGGTGAAAGGTATTTCGTCGTTAAATTTCACTGTCTTACTTAGAACAGACGTTGGGGAAGCAGATTTTACCACTTTTTTTTTTGGTGATTTTTTTTACCGTATATGTTCTTTTTTTTAAATGCTGTAACACTTCCTGGACTTTTTTCTTCATAGGAAGTGGCAAACGTCGACGAGTTGCTATAGACACTGGTTTTTCAGACTATTTTAAAGATATATTCAAGAGTCTACTAATTCCTGTGAAAAGTTCTGGAAATTCTTTTTTATATTTGTGGTATTCACTTTTTATAGAATTCACCCTCCTCACTAGATAAAGACCTTTTATTGCTGGTGGCCCCGGTAATAGTTCCCTCAAATATTCAATAACAAACACATTCTGTTTAGATTTTACTTTTAGAGTTTCTAATATGGCCTCCACATGACCGATAACTTTCATCTGGTAGTAACCTGGACCATGCAGTTGTTTGTCTTTTTTTTTTCCTTTCTAAAATATCTACTGGGTACTACCGTTACACCTACTCCAGTATCCAATTTGAAATAAATTACTTTACAACATTACTTTGTAGATTCTTCAGTAACCGCAATAGTATTATCGTTAGTAATAATAAACCTAAGGACATAGTATGGTTCTTCCTCCCTCATTCCTCGAATTTTAGACCTGCCAGTCTGACACGTTTCGTACAATGTCCTTTTTTTGAACACTTTCGGCAAATTGCATTTTGGGCTAGACATTCCTTTTGAGTGTGAAATGGAATATTGCCAAAGCGTATATATTTATTTGTACTTCTTTTATGCTGTACTCTATATTTAAGTTTCTTTTTGTATTTCTTTGGTGTTACTCTGCAAACGTTTGCTTGTGTTACATATGTACCAAAAGAAATATATTGAGTCTGTTCCTTAGAAGTTTGATAGACTCTGACTATGTTTATGCATTTTTCTAGAGTAAGTGTTTTATTCTTTAAAAACTTTTCCCTGACGGTATCATTTTAAACGCCTAGAACTATTTGGTCTCGAATTAACCTGTCCCGCAATTCCCTAAAATTGCAACCTTTTAGATACTTTCTGAAGCTTCTCGCTTTCGAATATGACATTTGTAAACTTCGTACACTTCTCGTTATTACAAATTATTCCAAATTTTCTTTCATTATCGAAATTCAACTGTTCGTAAGTGTCGTATGCATTTCCTATTATTGACAAAAAGATAGATCTGTCTATATTTCTGAGATGAGGTATTATGTACAGTATTTACATTAGTCGGACTATTGTCGCCATATTTGTCGCCATATTTGTCACAACGTTTCTTCAGGTGGTTGGAATTTCGAACTGAACCCTTTATTTCGATCACTGGGGTAAACTGTTCTAGTTCCATGTGCCATGTTTGATGGATGTCAGTTATCAGTTATCCCCTGCTAATTTTTCCCTCTGAAAGTTCTCCACTGCCTTAACCGGGTATTGAACTCACATTCTTTGGGTCTGTCACTGGATCTAACCAACGCCTTTATCCACTGTGCCGAAGAAAATTAAAATAAAATATAAGTGAATCCTAGCTAATTACTGCCTTAATTGATCATACTGAGCTTGTTCAGTACTGTTAATCACGTCGGATAATAACGCGTTCTCTCCCAGAAACTGTAACTAAGGCCAGCTCAGTATAGTTTCATTATATACCACATATGAGTGATGTGAGTGTTGAACAAACATAAATGTACATGAACTGGTGCCTGCAACAGAGATTAGCTAGCCGCCCAAATAGACAGGCCTACCCGAATACGGACGGCTAGCCACCATTAAGAGTATTATCTCATGCAGAAATAACTAAAAAACATAACAAAATCATTATCAAGTCATTAACATTACGATTAGCCTAATTTGTTATGAAAGAGTCAATTAACTAGACATCAGTAATCTGAACAGTTTTTTTTAAGAATATTACCCCAAGCAAGGCCTGAGTGCCACTAGCACGGAAGAAGTTACAGTGAGTGAGAGTAAAGAGGAGTGTTTGCGAAAAGGATAAAGAGAAGGACAAAGATCAAGGTCAAGGCATCAGAAGATGTCGATTGACATTACATCTGAATATCTGAAGGAAACAAATGATAAGAAGGGAGTTCCACTGACGGGAGGTGCGAGATAAGAAACTGTTGGAGTAGAAGATATGGCTATATTTAGTCGTTTCGAAAGTGAAATGGTGGGACCGAGATGCCAACCTAGTAGAACGTTTAAATTCATGCAGTTTGGGAACCAATGAAAGTAGATTGTCTGAGCAGTTGGCATGGAAATACTTGTAGCAAAGACAGAGGGAAGCCACAGCACGTCTGTAAGAAAGTGATTGAAGATGGGATGCCAGATCAGGACTAATCACATTGCATATTTCGCTTAGTCCAACGTGAAGTTAAACAGAGATCAAGTGTGCTAACGTCATTGAAAAGTCTACGTGCCTGGAAAATAAATCCTATATAAAATAATTTTCTTAAATGTATTCCCACTTGGGTTCGTTACTGACGGCCAGAATCTTGAAACATTTGATATGTAAACGACATAGAAAGAAAACTACAGGAACCCCTACAGAATGTAGTAAAAGAAAACGAGAAGAAATACGTGGTTGTCAGCAAAAGAAACACCCCAACATGCGAAATACGAATTAGAAACATCAAAATCAAACAAGTACAAAACTTAAAATATCAAGGAAGTATTTTAACAGAGAACGAAAAACGTGACTCTGAAATCCGAAGACACATTGGAATAACGAAATGTCTTCTAAATTATATTAAGAAATAGGAAAACTTCGTTAGGAACAAAGAAACGAGTACTGAAGTGCTATATAATATCGGTCCTCCAATATGGAAGTGAACAAACTCCGCAGAGACTGAGAAGAAGCTAGAGGCAAACAGAAATATGGTTCAGAAGGATGCTGAGAATACCATGGATTGAATAAGTGAACAATGATGAAGTTTTAAGGAAAATGGAAATAAAAAGTACACTTCTTCTTATAATCAGAACGAGAAAGTTGAAATTTGTAGGACATATAATGAGGAAAGTGGGTTTAGGAAATTTGATGCTCACATGACAGAAGGCAAGATGGACAGAGGAAAGCAGTCATAGATTCCCTAACGAGCTTGAATAAATTATTTTGCAGAACACTGGTTCGAAGAGATAGTGAAAAAGATTTACTAAGTGTACAAATGTCGGTAAATTTTGAAGAGTCATGATAGCCAACGTGCTGAAGGAACACTGCATTTAATAGGGATGCAAACAGGAAATATGCAAGCCACTCAGTATCTAATCCGGCACACTTTGTTATGCTGCAGAGAAATAGGATCGATTGATTTCTTTTTTTTTCGGTTTATCAACCTTTTGAGGGTTATTTAAAGCCAGAAAATATTTATAGATTGTAAAAATTCTTTTGGAAATAATAATGATTTAATGATACAAGTCTTACTAATTAAACCATAGATAGGAGGAGAAAAGATGAATTCATACCTTTTCCAAAGGTATTTGCACGTAAGTGAACATAACAAACCCAATAAGAATTGGAATATGAATTCCGAGCCATTATCTATTAACACTAGGATGGCCAGCTTCTTTGACATCTTTATTTACGTTACGCTGTGAAGCGGCCATCTTTAATATATTCAATATTCAAGTCAGGAATAACAAGTCTGAAAAGAAATTCACAAATATTAGTATACCTCATCCTGAAAGAAAGTGATTATATATATATATATATATATATATATATATATATATATATATATATAAATTATGTGTGTGGATAGATAGATAGATAGATAGATAGATAGATAGATAGATAAACACAAAGTATTATTGCTTGTGAGAAATTTTCAATGCATTTACCTATAAATAGCCTAGGTGTCAAAAAAACGACACCTCGCCCATTCAAGGTAAAACCTCAAATATCAGCTATTCCTCTGAATATTTTTTAAAGAATTAAGTCTGTTAAGCATCTTTGCTAAAATTCAATAATTGTCCATAAGCCTCAGCATCGAACCAAAACTAGTTATTCCATTGTAATTTGTTGAAAATTTGATGGTGTCGAAAACGACACCTCGGCCGTCCTAGTGTTAAACCACCTGCACATCTAAGGTTACAATACGTAGTATTTCCAAGCGGTCACCCACCTAGGTACTGACCAGGCTCGACGTTACTTATCTTTAAGGATCTTACAGCAACTGGCGTTTGAACGTGATATCGCCGTAAGCTATGCCACCTGCATATACAAGCTTACAGCACCTTCTATTCCCAAGTGGTTACCGATCTAGGTATTGACTCGGCGTTGGTTAGGATTCGGTTATCTTACGGGAACCGGCGATTCAATGTGATATCGTCTTAAGCCTTTGGGATTAGGATTAAAAGTTTATACGCTCAATCATTTGATCCTCAACCTACTTAAAAAACCCCAAAGCAATGTTAAATAATTTTATTTTTTGTCATATCATTAAATGTCATTTTCCCCTGTGTTCACATTGAGCTGTTCACTGATGCACAAATTCACTCGCTTCAAAGTGAATTCTTTTTTTACAAATGACATAGAAGAGGAAATTCTTCATAGACTCGTGTCGCAATATTTCACCTCTGCTGTCTCATTTTCAAGTTAACATCGTCTTAACATTGCAGTTTTTTTCCTACATACTCGCCCTTATTTTCTACAGTGTCAGTGATTTTCCCCATTCAACTAGACTAAATTTCTAAAAATATATAAATTATCTCCATTTTTTTTAACGATTGCCTTTGTTTTTAGTAACAATGACGTCACCTCGAGCAAATGTTTAATCTATTTCACGCCAAAATTTTCGCTTCTAAATTTCCAGCATGCAGCAAGAAAATTCTCCGCGCCTCCCTGTCTTCCATCGGAGATCGATGAACTTCAGTTCTTTGTAGCTTATTTTGTATATTTAATGCGGTTTACACGAGTTAAATATTTCGTGCAAAACGTTAATCAACAAAGAAAATATGTCAATCAACTGAATTAATAACTGAAGCTATTGTACATTTGATTGAGTTTCGATTAAAATATTTTCTTCTTACTACTAAAAAACTTTATTGAAATGTATTTTCTACTTCAATATTTGCGTTTTTCAAATAAGGTACATTGCCGCAATAAGGAATTTTTTCTCAAGTTTGATTGCACTTTTAAAATTCTTTTTCTCTTGTTCTACAATCGCTTTTTCATATAAATGGTTAAGAATGGCTTCAAGCGAAAGAAGACTGTAGGTCTTAGTGAGGACCACCCTTCTTTGAAAGTCGTGAACTGGCGCTACTAAACCATGAACAAAGACCGTTACTAAATAACAGAAACCACATCATTTGAGGAATTTCAACAACAACAACTATATAGATACTATAGTGCGTTTGGTTATGATCAAGTTTTTAAGAGGTTAAAAATAATGCATTTTTTGGATGACTGATTACACTAAATACAGATATTTTTTTCTGGAAGGGTTACAATAATTACCGTGGTCTTATCTCATAACAGCTGCAAGTGTTAAATTGATACAAAATGCAAACTATATTTTACGTCATTTATTATTGAAGAATCGAAATATCTTTTCAACTCACCTTAGTCTAGATGAAAGCCAGATAATGGAAAGAAGTGAGTGAATAAATCTCTTCTCAAATATCTTTGAAATTCACTTAACAAACGTTTCTAACTTTCATTTCCACCCAATATGATATTTATTTCTTATATTGAGCTTTATCTACTTTTGAACGCTGTCCAAATGTCGCTTAGTTTTGGCACAAAGCCATAATTGTGGAGCACCCAAAGAGAGTCAAACTTATTAGTCAGTCGTAATAAGCTGCGAGAGGGGCTTGCCAATTATCACCTGATAACATATCAAATGTATTAACTCAAAAACTAAAGAGCCAGTCAAGATAGAGGGTTACTGAATGAAACTGTTGTAAGAGCATAAAGTGGGAGGGGTAAAAAGAGACTATGTAGGATAAATAAATGATCGTAATGATCGGTGAAGTACCATCTTGGTAGTCCTTTCTAGAAAATAACTCTAATAGAGAAGAAGGCTTTTGTGTGAATCTTCCCTCTTTATCCCTAGAATACGAAGTGAATAAGGATGAGTTCAAAATGTATATGGAGGTTCCTAGCTGGGAACGTCTGAATTGGTGGAACTAAGGAATATAGCCAGGAAGATAGCGATAGAGTAATGCGAGGCTAGATGTAATAGATAAACTGCCACAATTAATTTTCCTTAATCTATTATGACTTACCTTTCCTATATGACTCGCTTACAAAGCACATGGCAGTACGTGCCGCTAGCGAAGGGCTATAACCATTGATTTAATAGTAGTGGTATTATAATCTGAGGTGAAACAGTAGTTGTTTATATGATATCCATACACAGTACCTAATAGCGTTCAGCTTCCCTCAGCACCCAGGAGTTGTGCGTAAATATGTTTCAGATTTCATATTTTCCTAAGTAGATATTAATGGATAAATTCTTTCAGGAACTTGTATTATTAAAAGCAATTTATCTACTTATTTCATATCGTCGAGTGGTTTTCTCTCGAGATAAATTTGATTTATCCAACTTCACTTCTAATTCATATGATCTAGACATGTGGACGCATGAATTTTATCAATAGAGAAGTTCTTACAGGAAAAAGTGCGTATGCGGAAATGGAAAACCTCTTGGAAGGATTTTGGGCATCTTACATGGGCTTCAATTTATCAAGGTATTCATTCGGCTATTTTTTTTGTTCAAATTCGTTGATACTGTTGTGGCAGGTCACTAGGGAAAGTGAATGCACACAATTGATTTTATGGTCTGCAAAAATGTATATACATAGGCATGGGCAATTACGTACATTTGTAAAGGTCTGGATCTCGATAAGAGACGCGGAATATAAAAAAAAAACACGAAGAGAATAGTAGTCGAAATGGCATATGAATCTATGTATTTCTTAATTTAAAAGATTAACATGGGGATAATGTAAACGTTTTTTATGGTATTTTAGATTCTATCTCCACACGTGCAGAAAACGAGATTATTTCGTAAGAGAAGATACATATCAGATGTGCAGCCATGATCAGGTAGTTTTCGATGATTTCTCGTTATCAGCTTTTAAAAAAGATAAAAACTTCGAATGGCAACTTTCTTTAAGCTTTTCAGCGAAGTAGAAATTATACAAATATAAGGGCGTATTAAAAGTACGTGTATTCATTTTTATTATAAATCTTTACCACAGCGGGATTACGGCCATATCACGTTGAAACATCGGTTCTCGTCAGATGAACGAAGTTAAGCAACATCAGTACCTAGGTAACTGCATGGTGCTGTAATCTTGAATGTGCAGGTGATGTAAATGAGAAATCGGTATTTTCAATTAAATGCTCATGATAAAGGTTCTTGCCCGTAAAGAAGAGAACTACTTGAACAATGAACCGTAAAAAATTATGTCAACATCAGTAATAGATTTTGCAATATGTGAGCGGTTCTGGAAGAGTCGAGTTACATTTTCCAATTACCCTTGGAATCCACCTTTTCTTCCCCCCAGTTGAGGGTTAATTAGTAGGACTTGTATCAATAAATCATTATTGTCTCCAAAAGATTCTACCAATCTAAAACTATTTTCTAGCTTTCACTAACCTGCAAAGTGTTGATAAACCGTAAAATAAAAATGAATCAATCAATTTACCTCAAAGCTTATTTCATAATGATGTCTAAAAAACTATAACTCCTCTATATTATTGTAATGTACAACTATCAAAATACAATTTACTTATGTCGTTTGTTTCATATGGAAGATAAAATCATTGAGAGTTTGGCAATTTTGAGATATTATTTTCAACCGAGTCACAAATCCGCTTTAGTTGCTTACAAAATACTCAAGTATATTGAAATGAAGCAATAAGTGATGTGTTGCCAAAAGAGGTATAAGCTTTTTAAATATAGCAAAACAAAAACGAACATCAGTTATCGATCATGACATTTTAAAAACACAATGTACAATAACCCGAAAATGTTCACAAGAGCTACGATATACTCTATACGTCATGCTTCTTATAAACTTTGAAATCTCATAAGATCTCTTGAGAGGTTTCTCATTTACCAAAATTTGAGTATAATTTTGATAGACCTTAATAATAATACATCTCTGTTCAGTGGATGAAAGCGTTGGTTGATTGATCCAACAATTGACTTGACGCAAAGAGTTGTGAGTTCAATCCCTGGCCTCAGTGGAGAGAACAAAAACTTGGAGAGTTGTCAAGGCAAATTAACTAAAACTGAGATATCCTGAGTCATGGTACGTGGAATTAGAACAGTATACACCCGCAGACTAAGTAAAGGGTTCGATTCGAAATTCCGACAAATATTGAAGAAGGCCCGAACATATAACGACCGAAACGTCGTAAATGTAACATTAAAGAGGATAACAGTCTGAATAATGTAAATATTTTTTAAACTCAGAAATGTAGACAGATGCAAATAAACCTGTATATTAATTTGTGTTTGAAAGATATTAATGATTTTAATAGTGAATACTAATGAGTAAATATTTGTGTGTATATAACAAGTTGAAAATGTGTTGTATATTATTATAGATATTTAGAGAGAGATAGAAATAGGATGGTGGAGATGTGCGTGGCGACTGAATTCAATGCACATTTTCCATTGGCGCCATTTATCACGTTCAACTGAATTTCAGTTAATGTTTTTAGGACTGATTTTAAAGGCATATTCGCCCTCTACTTTGAAATATTGGCGTCTCCTTGGGGTCCTCTGACAGAAAAAACCCTAAGCATAGTCAATATTTAGAAGGAGCTCAGCAGGTAAATTTTTTGATGAAGTAGA